CAACGGTGGTATGTGTTATGGGGGCTACCCTTTTTAATCTTTCTTAACCAGGAAACCTTTATCACGATGAAGCCCAGTGAGATCGATTTTCCACAAGACGGTGTTCAGGTTTCGCCATAAACGAACCACAAGTGTCACGAAACTGTCATTTGCTCACGTTTGTTGCCAAAGTCTGTGTCTTTTCGTATTGGTTCCGGAGACCTGGAAAAAAAGGGGGGGGGGGGATAAATCCACTATCCCTAAAGGGCATACTGTGAAATGCTAATAAAAGGCTTGCCGAAATCTGATGTATTGGACGGAAAGGCTAGGATATTAAAACGCATCTATAAACTACATATATCAAACATCTAGAGGTCATACATTCAGCAAACACACACAATTCAAGATTCTCAAATCTTGTGTGATACCAGTGCTAACTTATGGATTCCAGAGTTGGACAGCAACGATAGCTCTAGATTTAAACAAAATTCAACATTTTTAAAAACAATTGTCTTAGACGACTACTAAATCTCATATCCTATGTACAAATACGACAAGAGACCAAGCAAGACAATGTATCCGATTTGATAAGAAAACGCGACTGGAACTTAATTGGCCATGTACTCAGAATAGATAACACAAAGACTCTCACATCAAGCCATCAAATGGACACCAGAGGGGGAAAGAAAACGGGGAAGACCAATAGAGACCTGAGGAGAACCATCACCAGGGAAGGCTCATCCATGGGCCTAACAAACATCCAGGACCTAAAGCAGATGGCAACAAGCGCTAGACATTGAGAGCTATGACCTGTACCCTATCAGCCACGCTAGGATCAAGAGGGAAGATTAACTTTAAAAAACTACAACAGTGTGTCAAGTCCATTTCAGCACGAACTTAGAAGAAGAAGAAAAAGAATATGTTATGGTGGTGATGGTGATCCCAATGAGCGGACTGTCCGGGTTTGCTCCCTGAAAGTTTGACACTGAGTAGCATTTCGGATGTCAAACCAAACGTAATAGGTCGCAAACACCTGTTTAAACTTTATAAAATGGTTATGAAAGGGCTCCACAGAAAAAGACAAAGTTAAACAGGACACCCCCCCCCCCCGATATGTTTGAGGCAGTTTATGTAAATGTCATATTTTTGGCAAAGAACGGGGTGAGTAGTGTTCGTCTTCGCGATAGTCTCTTGATTGCTTTGGTAGCTCATTCGTTTATACTACACACCCATGAAGTCAGTTTTATCAGGCACAGTAATATACATTACACAAAAAAGGACACAACGCCGTGTGTAAGTAAGTAAATCAAGTTAATATTATCTGCATTTTATTTTACAATATTTGCGCTTATGACAGATGTTGCATATCTGTAAAGATCTATCGGCACTCGATGGCTGATGTTGTCAACATCGCTGGGGCCGCCTTTATTTCCCATGATATATCATCCTTCTTTATCCCCCTCCCCCCAAATCCATTCAGTGCGCACCAACACCTTGGGGCTGGCAGACGATTAACGTCAAAATGCCAAATTACCCCACTAAAGCCATTTGTCTACACACACAAAACGTGTATGCCAGTACACACTGAAATTGGGTGCATGCACCCAGGCACACAAAACATCGCAGGAAATCTGGATACGTGCGCTGAACCAACATTGAATACTCCGTAAACTAACGTCATCAGTTTCCGTTAAACCGTTTCTGTACCGTGCGCGCCAACTGGCTAATGATGTCTCTGCCCTTGGTTGTAGAATATTGTAGGTCGTGGTTGTCTAGTAACATCTGCTGCACACTAATGACTTCACGACTGTTTGCTCGAGTTTACTGTCCGCAGACTCATAGGGGCCATGTTGGTTGAGCCTTGAATGAGGCCAGTTTGGAACGGCGTCAGGGACGATGATACTTATAAGCATTCGTGACGATCAGCTGGTATTCCTGGCTTTCTATTGTTACAGCTCGTTTTATAGTGTTCTAATTGCATTTTGAAAATGTATAACCACGTATAACGCTAACTGAGAAGTACATGGAAATAATTTAACACAATTTTTTTTCTGAATTTTAACTGTACCCAAAATTTAAAATAAAAATTTGTTTGGTCTTTAAATGGTCAATGTATAATATAAGCAGTCTGCTATAAAGCCAGGTGCGGTGACCAGTAAATAAATAAAATAATGAAGCTAAAAAGGAAAACAGTTCTTCAGTTGGGGTATGGGGTGTAAAATATTTACGGTGCTACTACCCCGCCTCCAACCTAGTCTTTTTGGCTGAAAGCAGCCAATGTTGCCTCTTCTTAAGGAGATTATATCCCCATATCGATTCCTGGCCCTGTTGGGGAAGTATCCCAGGGCTATATATATTTTTGGCGCTGTATTATTTGCCATTTAGACAAAGATCTGTCATCATCATGCTAAAACGTGCAATGATCTAGAGTCGTCTTTGCAATTAGACTTAAGCAATGTAGTTAAGTGGAGCTGTGCAGACCGCATGCAAATTAACATTAGTAAAACTAAATCTATGTTTATAACAACTAGACAAAAATTATACTCTTTAAATTCACACGGGAGCCTTCAGCTCTACATCGGTAGTACCCTATTTGAAAGTGTAACTTAGCATAAATCACTAGGCCTGATTATTGAAAGAAATCTAACCTTCAGTTCTCATGAACAAACACTTGTGAAACAAACATCTAAAAAAGTATACAGTTGAGCACTTTTTGATGAGAGCACTAGGAAGATATTCTATACTTCCCACATACAGACCCATCTAGACTATTGCTCCACAAGGATGTTCCAATTCAGCATCAAACAACTTTAAGCACTTCAAAAAGGGGCTGTACTCGAGTACCAATTATGGGCGAGACAGTTCAAGTTTGTTTAAGAGTCTTCTGCTACTACCACTCCATTTTCAATTGGGCAAAATATATTCATAAAATCGTGTCCTGAAATACTCCAGATTACCTTTGGCCATTGCCTAGATATAATGGAAGACACAGCAAAGGCCTAAACACACTACATATCCCAAAATGTAGGAAAGACTTACATAAAATAAGTTTGGCTTACTCGGTAGCTCATCTTTGGAACCAACTTTCACTGCCACTCAAAATTATCAGTAACCCCTATACATACAATCAGAATCTGTTTGAATATTATCTCAGCACAGACTATATGCCGCCGTAAATAATAATAGTTTTAAACATTATTCCCCTACCGCCTTCCCCAGATTTGTTACAGTTACTACGCTTAGTATATTATTACTACTTAGAAATGGTGGTATAACAAGAGCACATCCCAGGAATTGTGATTAACAATTAGATGTATATGTGTTATTTGTATGCTGATTTGTGAATTGAATAATATTTGTAAGAAGTGAGGCCCAAAGGGCAGAATGTAAGACAGGTCTGCAATCTAATTCTTAACCATTTGAAAATATTTGTTCTTTCACTTCCCACTCTCCCTCCCCCTCTCTTCATTCCTCTCCCTTTCTTTTCTCCATCTCCCACTTTCTATCCATTTTCCCTTTGATGTGTTTCCTCCCTCTTGCCCTGCTCACGATTTTTTTTAAAAATCCAGTCATGGTAACATGAAATCATGAGATCACTTGGTGTACCTAGTCAGGAGCTATACCTTTAAGAATGTGGGCGTGTCAGGACATCCTAGGTTACATTGCCCTTGAATATTATCCCATAAATCAGATCATTAGAGTTTGGGCTTCTGGCTGTTGCTACTGGTTGGGAACCAGACCACAAAATAATCTGGCCTCAGTTGTATACAATAGGGGTAAGCCTTAGTGTTGTGTTAGGGGATAGAACTGGATACTGTGGCGCACATTATTCTGTTATTGTGCACATTAAATCCTATATCTGATGCCCAGATACTGGCATCTGGGATTACCTTTACCTCTTATGTTATTTGAATACACATTTTCAAAAGTAGTAACCCCTGTGGGTTTCAGGGCTCTACTTGAGAGGGGGGGGGGGGGGGGGGGATAGGGTTTGCCCACTGTATCTTAATAAGCATGTTGTAAAAGTATCTAATTAAGAACTTGAATACAATTCAATGTTTTTGGCCGAAAAACGCAGTCGCAGTCTAGCTGAGTACAATATGCTAACACCCCCACCCCTTTCCCTCTATTTTTTTTTGTTAGGCCGACACTGTATTAAATGTGCAGTGCAATTGTCAGTTTGAATTTGTTGACAGAACCTGTGTTTCATCATCTTCAACCTGTAGCTAGTCCTTTACAGAACAGTGCTCTCATCACAGCTTGCTGGAAGAAACTCAGTCGCTTGCCAGCACTCCTGCTTCATATACTTTCATATTTAAGGAGTCACTTATATTGTGCCCATCATCATGTTGGTCAGCCCCTGCCCCTTCTTCCTGATACCATGCCTTCTGCTAATTTTCCCCAGTCCTCCATGGAACTTGATATAGCCAGTATAATTCTGCTTCCGAGACAATATGCTGTTTATTAACCAGTCTTCCTTGATGTTCAGATCTTTTAGAATGTCAGTGTATACTCTCTTCTTTGTCCATGGTATTTTGAGACTCTTTCTATAGCATTTCAGATCAAAAGCCCCTTTTTCTTCCTTGAGGACTGGCAGATACTCCCATCCATATGTTGCCAGAGGGAAGATGCATGCTCTCCAAATTTTAACATTGTTTTCCTTGCTGGTGCTTAATCATAGACATGAAATGCTGTTTAATCTTTGTATTGCTATGGTCATCCGCCTTTTGTCTTCTATTTGACAGTTCCCATTGCTGTTTATTATGGAGCCTAGTATTCAAAGTCTGTGACCTTTTCAATTTCTTCATTTATTGTTATTTTGTGGTGACAGTTTGATCTGTGCACATTATTTTTGTCTGAGTTTTACATTGTGAAAATACTGAACCTTTAAGCAAACTTAAGTTTTCATTGTGTAAATAAATACTGAACTTTACAATGCCTGAGTTTACATTATGTACAACTGATCTTGTTTACTGTGTCTGATTCTACAGTTTGTAAATGTCCTTTTTGTTTATTTACAGTGCATGGTGCCAGGGGCCTTCAAGGCAAAAAACCAGGTAATATTTCAAGTCTGTTTTATTCAGTTTACTGTGAGAGAAAGATTGTTTGAGATGTAACTATGAGGAGTTATTTATTTGTTCATTATTTTACTTCACTGTAGCCACAGTAGTTAAGTGGTTAGTCGATTTACTTACTGTGACATTTGTCTGGGTTCAGTTCCCAGCAGTGGCAGGATTCTTTTACCCAACCAGCCGTCTGTTTTTCAGTGGGGGGGGGGGGGGGGGGAAGAGTTGAACCATTGCCCCTTAAAACATGTGGGTCATGGAAAGTGTCAGGTGGACCTTCAACAGGTGTGTTTTTTTTCAGTGATGTACTGGGTGGAATGGGTGGTTTCTCTCTTCCTGGATTGCAGTCTGTAAAACATCGAGCATGAAAATCAAAAGATGTTGCATCAGCTGAAATGTGTAATTTTGTGACATCGGATTTAACATAATGTTTTTTTTTTTTTTTGGTGTGTTTGGTTAGCTGTCAGGTTGGCTGAAACGCAATTTTCCTGGTTTTGGTGGGCCACGGATGGTCAAATGTTGAGGAACACTGGCCTAGATTATGTGAAAGTCTGTAAATTCACACCCTGGGGTTTTACTCTTCTCATTTGAGGCTGCATCTGTTAGCTATTTTTTTCTGTCATATTGCCTCAGCCGAAGACAAAATTACCTGACTGCACAAATATATACAAAAGAACACTGTCAAGAATTGTATGTAGCTTGTTCATGGTAAACCACATGGCCATATAGACAGATGCTATCCTATATTTTTTTTGTGTTACATTTTCAAAAACATGTCTTTGTAGGCATTCACAAAGAGGATACTGTGTCTTTAACAAATTCATGTGAGCCGTTTGCATATTTTTCAGGGAATATTTTATTATTTTGTTTATTGAGATATAAGATTTAAATGTCACACAAAGACTCTATTCTTATAAATGATATTCCCATTTCATACTGTAAGAATTCTTGTTTTTGTGGGTGTTGGATTCTCCAGTGGTAAGAGAGTTGTTTTACAGAAGAGATTGCACCTCACCATGTAATATTCTCATAGTTGGCAGTGGGTACATTGCACCCAGCCTCCATCTCATAGCCAACTCTCTTTCATTACCTCTGATTTTATGCTTGGTGGTTCACAGTGGCAAGGGTGGAAGCTGGCCACTTTACCTCATCAGGTACGGCCTAGAAAGCAGGACGTTAAACACTTCACACATCAGAGGCAGTATCTGTGTATTTTATTTTTTATTTTTCATCTGCTTTCCATTCATCCCCCATTAAAGTATAGACCCTCAGCTAACTCCAGCCAGGCTCTTGACAGATTGTTCATGACAAGTTGGATTTTGCAACAGTTTTTTTCTTCTTCCCAGAATGACCTGGTTGTTTATGTTTATCAAGTTGAATTCTGTTCTCAGTACGAGAGTGGTTATGCAGAAGAGATTGGGACCTCACGGCATAAGATTGCCATAGTTGGCTATGGATATATTGCAGCCTATTCTTTTGCGGAGACAGCACAATATTTGTTTTACCAAGACAAGTTTATTTAATAGCTAGATAAATCCTATCCTGAAATATGGAAGTGAATCATGGACAGTTAGTTGAAAAATTATGTGGAAGCGGTGGATATGTTTTATAGACGAATATGCATAACCCTCAAGACAGATAAAAAGACCAATGAAGATGTCTTTAAAAAAGTTGGCTCATGAAGAGAACTGATTGCCCACATCAGAAGGACAGTCTACATCCTTTGATCATGTCATGAGAAGGAGAAATTGAGTAAATCTTGATGGGAAAGTTGGAGGGGGAAAGAGGCAGAGGGAGACTGAGAGAGAAGATGCTGGACAGTTTGACATCATGGCCTGGAAGATCATCTGTGTCAGAGTTGATTAAAAGCACACGAGATGGAAGGTTGGAGGTAGACATGACTACAAAAGCCTTACGGCATGGACTATACAAAGAAGAAGATGAGTTAGCAAGTCTTGAGGCAATCCTCTTTCATTGCCTCTTATGATATACTTGGTAGTTTACAGTTCTACTGTCCTTGCTTCCCGAAAGGATCCCAGCAACACAGGTGATTATTTCTTTCATTCTCTCTGACATGTACATATAAAACTTAAATGCAGTCTGAACCTGAAGATAATAAATATATAGTTAACAAACTTCTATAGCTGGCATCAGACAATTGCAAATAATATTGTGTGTTGCAGGCAGGCACAAGTTCTCAGTTATATTTGGGGTTGGCAATAAGAAATATCGCACAAGTGTAATCAAGGAGCCCAGTGGTAACCCAGACTGGAATGAAGAATCTGTTGTGTAAGTATTTACAATTTGTTTTACTGTGAAAGCCATACTGACTCTCTGCTTCACTATGATATATGTCACTCTTCCTGATTACCCTGTCAAATGTGAACAAGTTACAATCGTCTCTATTGCCTTATACTGACAATGAATACCTTACAGCAGAGCTACTCAACTGGCGGCCTGTGGAAAAAAATGTGAATCATGGCCACTTGTATTGTATTAATGATCTGTCTTTGCTGGGGCTCTGACCTTGACAATTCCTATTTGCTAAATTTTAGTCCTCAAGTAAACTTTCTTGAATAGCCTTGCCTTACTGTGATAGAGCTTCTGTGTTTCTTTCAGTTCTGTTTTTATCCTTAAAAAGTTATCTTAAACATATTTACCGGTTTTGGTAGACCACAAAATTATTTCTTTTTCTTGATGTTTATTTGCTTTATCTCAACCCCCATACCTACAAAAACTGCAAAAAAAATCACAGATTAAAAATGTGTGTACATACATAGTACACCATTCACTATGCAGACTTAACGGTAAAGCAACACAGGGAAGACAGAGAGATAAATACAGGCATGGCTGAGGATTGCAGGGCATAATTTGGACAAGAACACAGACCTCACCCAGGACTCTGATCATGTGAGATAGCTCTCCATCACTGCTTCTGTATTGGCTTGACACATGATGATGGTGAAAGCAGAAACAGTCAACAGATGAAATTATGGGACGGAATGAGATGACATATGTACCCAACAGGTTACCATGTCAGCACATAGTAGTATGGTGTATTATTTATTTAGGATTTCAAGGTATTTTGGCTGTCAAAAACCATTCTATAGCTCAGAAGTAAAAATAAAGGACTATCTTCATGCCAGTGGCGCATTGGGCAAATGATGCTAGACTAATTCCTTTATAGACTATTTGACATTAAACAGGTGATGTAGTCAGCAATTTGCCAGAACATTTCCTTGTACCAGTTTTAGGGTAGGAGCCAGTCGGTATTTGAAAAAATTAACCCCCCTCCCCCTAGTGTTGTTTTGAACATAGGACCTTTGAGAGCACAGGCAGGTGTCTAGCTGCTGTGCTACTCCCACACACTGGTTAACTCAAAGCTTATTATGCACTGTGAAAATGAAACATGGGCAGAAAAGGTGTTGCATCTTCAGAGAAGCAGCAAGCTGTCAATCATCAAAATGTGGTAAAATAAGTTTAACTAGGCATATTGTTTGGTCATGTCTTGAGAAGGAGGAAACTGGAGTACATTATGACATTGGTAAAGTTGGAAGGGAAAAGAGACAGAGGCAGACTGAGAGAGAAGATACTGGACAGTTTCACCTCCTGGCATAGAAAGATAATCTGTGTCAGAATTTATTCAAAGTACACAAGACAGAAGGTGGCAGACAGAAATCACTACCAAGGCCCAGCAGCGGGGACTTTAATCAGAAGAAGGTACATAGATTATTGAAGAGGGCCATTCCAGTTGAACATCAGTAAGTGAGACATCAGTTATCAGGGTGTAGCTTTATGGAATTGTTATAGCCTCATCTTTATCATTAGGAGTCGCTGTGGCGTTGGCAGCTAGACGCCTGCCTGCGGATCAGAAGGTCCTGGGTTTGCGTCCAGACGGTGTCAGACTTTTAAAAATTAAATGACTTTAACTCCCAGGTTGACCCAGCCTTGAGTGGGTACCAAGTGCAGTCCTGGGAAGTAAAAAAGGCCAGCATGATGCTGACCACATCACCCACCAAGTGCTGATTGGTCTATAAAAAATATAGGTCTAGCCTAACATTCCCAATACGTCTAAAAGTGTGGAAAAATAACCTCATCATTATCTAGCAAGTACTTTACATACAGTGCATCATTTCTCATCATGGCTGACTGGAAACATTCTCTAGCCAAGTCCCTGCCTCACATATTTTTGTGTGTCCAAGGTGTCTTTAACTCTTTGAGGCCTATTAATTTTGACAGACTTTGCCCACATTAATTTCCCTTTAAAAAAATGACTAAGTGGGTGGTGTACAAGAAAGGCACTAGAGAATATAATATACTTCTAATTCCTTTAAAAGTATATATTTTTTTTAAAGAGAAATGAATGTACATTTTGAATCTGATCATAAGTTTATGTATATTTTTTTTTTTTAGTTAGTAGGAAAGAAGAATTAAGCAGGTGTTAATTTCACAACAACATTTTACAAACAAATTCCTCACTTACCATGGTTTTGCAGCCACAAGAGTATTAAATATCCAAAGTTGAGAACAAAACTTCAAAGTTTATTCAATTTCTTAACAAATTCCAAAGTTATGATAAGTTTCTGGGTTAGTTTAGCACTCAGGGGCTTTTAGTTCTCGCAGAGTGCTGAGCAAAATTTCAGAGAAAATAATTACAGAAATATGGGCCATTACACGCACACACGCTATTTACTATTTACTTTGTACAGTTATATACAGACTGTAGCTGCAAAGATTTCAATGTGGCTTAGCCATAGTATATAGTACTGTCTCTTTGTTTGGAGCACTTTCCTTTTCTTACACCATAAATATGGTAGCAATGGAACATTGTCTGTGTAAACTCATCAGAATGGCTAGATTCCCACCAGCTGATCACTCAGCTGCCGCTGGTGAAAATTCACTGCCCAAATCACTTTCAGGAAGATCTAAATTATCATTATCAGAATTAAAAACATCTGACTGAAACAATTTCAGATTTTCGGTTGCAGAAAGTTGCATTCTGCCACCTCTACTTGTGGTTGGAACATTGGTATTCATGGCACTCGAAAATGGACTTAGAAAATGCACTGTTGAAAAAATGTAGCTATGACCCGATCAATGTATGCACGTGTGGCTTCGGATACACTTTCTCTGAATACTTTAATGGTAGTTCCGAACATTAGAAACAAGCATGAAGCCGTGTGCGAAGCAGTATGTACGGGACACACGATTAATGAATACAGCGTTGTTTGGGCAAAACGGAACTTCTCAATCAATGCTCACACCGTTGCTCTGGCCTTAAAGAGTTAATAAACTGTGGTACTTTCATTCCTGTCATCCCTTGCCTCTTCTTCCAGAAATGATAACTTCATGTGTGTTCCATAGCCTCATTTTTAGGGGCTGGGAAAGAGGAGGGGGTATGACCCACTGCCCCTTTAACTTTAAAAATCGAACCAAAAATAAATTTAACAGTTTGTTGCCGGTCCTTTTTAGAGTATGTTGCAGAACAAACCCCAGCATTTTTGTGAGCACTGTTTGTGATTTCAGTAGGCAGTTTTAGGTTCATTAGTTTGCCATTGCTAACTGAATGGTCATCTCTCGATACCATTGTTGAAACCAATGCAAGACAGTCAACTGTCAGATTGTCCTAGAGCAGGGGTCAAACTCAGCACCACGGACTTCAGAAGAGCATCCACAATGCCTAAACCATGGACACTGACCCCTTCTAAAAAGCATGTCGTAAATGATGATTGATTATGGGCTTCCTGAAATCAGATGTGTTGAGCCGATAGACACAGATATCTCAGCTAGCTATGCACTGCTTGCTAAATACCCTTTTTAGAGTAAGTACAGAAAAAGAATAATAATTCAGCAGCAGTCCAAAAGAGCATACAGTATTTTAATTTCTTGCCTTTTCCCTCCACAGTCATATTGTCAGTGCTAGTGACCATGTCTTCTTTACAGTCATGGAGAAAGAGGATGTGCTGGGGCATATCAGCATTCCGGTTGCTTCTTTAGTGTCAGTGAAAGAAGTTGTGAAGGCCACTCTCAGAGCCCACAAGAAGTGCCCCAATCCTCAGGGAGAGCTCATCTTTCAGTGCTATGTGTCCAAAGAGAGGCCAGCCATGCTGTCCCCACAAACAATCACGAACACAGGTGGCCATTTGTCAGGGTTTCAAAAGCTGCGGCAGAATTTCTCCTCATCTCAGACTACATTGCAGAAACCAAATAAAGAGGAGAAGGAAGAGAAGAGAAAGTCAAGTTCTTTGGCAAATTTCAATAGGAAGCTTTCCAAATCTATTCATGATATTTTTCATATTGGCCGACTAGGTGGCAGTAATATTGAGCAGCAGGAAGAAGAGCAGCCTGCTGTCAAAGGGAAGAAGTTCAACCTACGTTTTCCTAGCATGGGTACAGGGCTTGATAGCACTGGCAGAGATGTCCCAGTTGTAACACATATAGTCCCAAATATGGCCTCAACCACTGGTGGGACCCGCCTGGTCTTGGAAGGTAGATCACTGGGCCTCGGCAAGTCAGACATTATGGAACTAATACTCTGTGGTTCAGATCTACTGGACAGTATAGAGTTTGAATCTGAGAACAGGATCTATGTCACCACAAAACCAACAGCGGCCGGGAAGGGGGACTTGTGGATAGAAACTGTCTCTGGAGGGCAGAATGTCATAAAAAATATCTTCACTTTTGTCGACCGCTCGGCCTCCTCAACACCTTTGGTGGACAAGAAGAACATAGACACTGTAGTAGGTAGAAATTCACCTCTGACTGAAAACCGTACAGATAAGACACTTACTCCTGGAAATGACTCCAGTGCTGCTGAGAAGAAGACCTGTGTGGTACCCACTATCAACATAGAACGATCTGCATCACTTAATAAGGTAAGATTTTTCTCTAAACTGGTGTTTGATAATCTGACACATGTAGGCTTCTGTGGCTTAGGCATTGCCGGGGTGCTAGGTTCAATCCCAGCTGCAGATGGTTTGTCTTGAGTTGGTTTCGACCGGTATCTAGAGCTGACCGTTCAGAAAGTCATAGCAAACTACAGAATGTAAAATTTGCCTAGAAAAACTACAACAGCCAAAAAATGCTGGTGTTGGTTCTACAACGTCCTGTAAAGGATACTCAGCTAACTATTTGATAATCTGAAAGTGGTATAGAAAATTCTTAGAATACCATGGATCAGGAAGCAGAAAAATGTCGACATCAAGTTGAACATCAAGGAGAACTGACTCCTGTCCTGAAAGTTTAAGTTTAAGTATTGTGGCCACATCACATTTGTCGGAAAGGCCAGGAACCAGCAAATAAGCCAGAGAAATCAAAGTGATGAGCAAGCAACACTCAGGTCCTGGAGCAAGACCAGAACCTGACACAGACAAACAGCTGGGACTTTCTACTGGAGTTCACAGCCTGTGATCACAGACAGAGACAAATAAGTCACTCTATACCCAGAGTTCCATTAGTGATGGGGTTGTGCGCCCCCCCCCCTCCCCCCAACCTACCTAGTCTCTAGAAATGGATGCCAGATATTTATTTGAAAAACAGTATAAGTGGCCATAATGATGTTGATTGCATTACCCATTGTCTACTGATTGGTCACTGAAAATAGATCCTTACACTGTAAACTCCCAATATGCTGTATAATGGTAGAGAAGATAGGTTAGTTTAGATGTATTCCGGGTGCATGTTTTAAATAAATCACTAGTGTTTGTGATAGGTGATTAGAACTGCATGGTACTGCATTATCTCTTTAGAATGTGTATTTTTTTCTGCCCCGGATGTTGTGTCCATTCACTGAGATAACAGCTGAGAAATCAGTTTATATTTGTTTATGTTATCTATGTCTTCACACACACATGAACACTTCCATTTGTGTGCACACACACACACGTTTGTTTTTGTAATGTGTGTGTGTGTGTGTGTGTATATATATATATATATATATATATATATATATATATGTAAAAAAGATGTGCAAATATATATATATATAAATATATATATATATATATATATATATATATATATATATATATATATATATATATATATATATATATATATATATATATATATATATTTATTTATTTATTTATTTATTTATTTATTTGCACATCTTTTTTTCCCATCAGCCTGTTTACCTACTAATTAGTTAGTTCATCTGTCTATCCATCACCAAACTGTCACTCTCTTATAGTAACTCTTGCAGTCCTATAAGGTTTCACACAGATGTCAATAGTTTCTCATTGAAAAATGATTGAGGGGAAAAGGGTGATTGTGGGGGGAGGGGGGGGGGGGGGTGCTTTACACCAAAAGTATTTTGAAATATATGTCACCACTGAAGCAGCCATATTCCTTTAACCTACTGTGACCAAACTAAAAAAAAAATAAGATAAAACAATGTTTGACAATCAAAAAGATGAGCTAATGTTGCATAGGGAATTACTTGGAGCAGAATGTTGAATTAAGAATTGACATTACAGCAATCAGAACACCCCCATAAGTGCTTTGTCCCTTTTTCAGCAACAAGCGAAGAGTTAAAATTCTGGTGATAAAAATAACTGTCTGTATATCCGTCTCGCCTTTTCCTTGAGTGTGGAGCGTCGGCCAGATCCCCTTCTAACTCCTTGCAGTGCCATTCTCCTCAGACCATAATGATAAATCTGTGCCTCGGCACTGTTCACTCGCTCCAAAAGGGCACTCACAACATCCAGCTTGTCAGATATAAGTTCACCACCACGTCTATCTGCCTGCTCATTTTCCTACACACCGGCATGACCTGGAGAAAAAAATCTAAAGGATGCTAACTACCTGGGACCTTTGAAGTGATGCTTGCCACTCTACACGGAGCATGCCTGTCACAACATGCTCTGTGAGTTTGAAACAGAAATAGTTACCAGCTCCCCCGTGTGGGTTCCGGGGCCCTATTGTGGGGAAAACAAGAATAGACCCACTGCCTCCCCAAAAGCATGTCGTAAGAGTCGACTAACTGGGGAGCTTCCTTTGAAGTCGGAGTGCATCTGCCTGAGAGGCAAGGAACCAGCAGTCTGCATTCAATTGAATCAGATCTGTAAAACTGATGCACATGCAACACTCAGGTTCTGGAGCATGACTGCAGTCCAGAAGTGGACGAACAACCAGAACTTTACACCAGAGTGTACAGCTGGTGAACACAAAGAAGAAGAAGTTACCAGCTATTGTACATTTTTACTGTATGCCTAATTATCATTGAGTTATACTGGTTGGTGCTGGCATTTGGGGCTTAAAGGTTGCCAATACAGTTTGCAATTCTGAGGTACCCGGTTAGATTCCAGCTGTTGGTGATTTGGCAGCAGATCACTTTGATTTGATTTGTACATATGTATTATGTGGGTATGCATGTATATGTATGTGTATATATGTGTGTGTAGGTATGTAGGGTCGATATGTTTGCGTATGTGTGTAGGTATGTAGGGATGGATATATGTGTGCATGCATGTGTTTTTAATATTTTTATTTATTTATTTATGTATATGAGTGTGTATGTGTCTGAATGTATAAGCAAGTAAGAGCATGTGTACGGATGTATGATTGTGTATATGATGGGTGTTTGCATTATTTCATTTTGTATATTTTTTATTTCGACATTTCATGCATTATTGTTAGCATGCAATTGTGGTCTGAAAGATGAGTGCTTGGAAGAGCTGAATGTAAGATGGGCCTGCATACCCAATTTGTAACCCTTTGAAAATAGTTTTGTTTGTTGCTCTCTCTCTCTCTCTCTCTCTCTCTCTCTCTCTCTCTCTCTCTCTCTCTCTCTCTCTCTCTCTCTCTCTCTCTCTCTCTCTCTCTCTCTCTCTCTCTCTCTCTCTCTCTCTCTCTCTCTCCTCCCTCTCTCTCTCTCTCTCTCTCTCTCTCTCTCTCTCTCTCTCTCTCTCTCCCTCCCTCTCTCTCTCCCTCCCTCTCTCCCTCTCCCCCTCCTCTCTCTCTACCCTCCCCCCCCCCTTTTCTACCCCCCCCCCCCCCTTTCCCTTCCTGGACTCAGGTGACCTGGATGCCAGTGCATTAGAACTTAAGATTTAAAACTCAGATCTTTTAGAACTGATAGTTCCCCAGAGGTTATATGGGTCACATTTGTGTTGTCATGAGGACCACACGTGACATCTAACTGCAGTGGTTTAATAATAATTATTGCTTGCAAAGGGCCGCATGTTTGACATGTCTATTCTAGAGGAATAATAAACAAGAGCCTTCACATAAAACCCTACTTTATTTTAATGGAAACTTATTTCTTTTCTTTAGGAAGACAGACAGAGGAAAGTTACAATCTCAGGTTCTGCCACACTGCCTCTGATGAAGACATCAGGGGTGTTGGATATGGGGAGCTCTAGTTCCCTAGATACTGCACCTGAAAACAACCGGAAGAGTTATCAGAAACACACCCGTGGCAAAAGTGAATCTGTAGTTGGTGTTAATAAAGATGCTGCTGAGAAAAAGAGTAAGTCTGAACTCAGTACTGTTTGTTTGAAAACAGTTGCTCTCAGAGTAAGATCACCAGCTCCTCTGATCAATATCTTTTTTTACCCAAAGCAAAGCAAATTGATTGTTGAATGCTGAATTAAGAATTGATATCACAGCACTCTGGGTATTCCCATAAGTGCTGCTTTCCTATCTTCTGTAGCAGGCGCATAGTTCCTGTACTGACTGCACGGGAAACAGTCTGTATATCCATCTAGTTTTTTCCTGGAGTTTTGAGTGTCAGCCAGACCCCCTGATCACTACTCACATCACTATTCTCCTCAGACTGTGATCTTCTTCATCTGCACCAGTGTTGCTCTTGGCCAAAAGTTTTGCTTTGATAACGTTATTTTGGAAACAGTCTTGGAGTATGTGACCTGTTGTCTCCTGTGTCAATACACATGTACACATGGCTGATTCACCAATTTTAAATTTTGTGTACATGTGGCTGTGAAGTCTATTATGTTCTGTTCTAAGTCATAGAATAATGACTTGCTCTGGTCCGTCCATATATGGTAATCATCTTGTATCGGTTTTAGTGGCTTTCTGATTGATTTGATTATTCTCTCCTTCTAGACCGTGATGATCAGTGTGTGCTTCCAACCATCAAAGGTACTTTAGGTGATTTAGTTAGTCTTTGTGATTCTGCAGTCAGTTTTTGAACCTACTGTGAGGGTCATACAGGTATATCAGTCAAGCTCTTTATGGTCTGAGTTGTCCAGATATACAGGCCACATTATGGAAAAGGGTTTCTCGTTATAACCCCACAGTAGGTTCCTTGCCACTGTGGCCTACCTGGAAACAACAGAACTGACAATTTTTTAAGCTAGAGGCTGCTAGCAAAAGAACTAATTTCAGTTAGAAACAATCTCAGAAATAAAAAAAGATTGAATGATTGGGTAAAGAGATAACCAGCTGAACTGTATAGAAACATCCCAACAGGATCTGTAGAGTTATATAATTTGTATCAGTTCCCATCATGAATCCTGATCCTGTTTGCTTTCACCCTTATACAACCTTCAATGACATTCTCTGTATATTCCTAACACTTTCATTTGCCAGGTACAAGGCTACAACAGCCATCCCTAACAGGTACTGATTCTGTAGGGGTCTATGAAAAAACTGCAGGAGGTCACCTTCATAAAAGTGCCAAGAAAGTAAACTTTAGGTTCAAAACATTAAACAGACTGAACATTTCACATTGGGCAGATAACTTTATTGTACATACAGAAATGCAGAATCCTGCCCCCCCTCCCCCTTCCCCCCCCCCCTCCTCCACCCCAAAAGGGGGAGGGGGGGCGGGATTCTGCATTTCAGAAAATTTAGAGCATATCGTGTAATAAATAGTTATTTTCAGGATATTGGCACTCAAATGTTTTTGAGTCTGTGGCATGAAATCTAAGAATGTGAACAATAAATTAGGAAGAGTAACTACCAGAGTAACTTGTTGGCATCTTTCTGTCTTTCTAGAGGATAGTGTTATGTTGTGCTTTAGGGAGGCCTAGGAATCACCACACATGGGGGTGGTGAGTGTGACTGGCAAGATCCTGCTCACAATAACAATGATCTTTCATAATTAGAGCTGGGGATTTCAGGACCTTGTTGCCATAGCATTTTTGTAATGTGCTTCTTCTCAAACACTCGGCTCTTAATCTGTCTGTAATCATTTTCTTCTTTATCCTTATCCCTTTCCTTATTTTCCCCCTCTTTGCAACATGGCCCATGATCTCCTGTTCCTTTTAGGCTACCGCAGTACCAGTATAATTTATGTCCTTTATTCCCCAATGGGTTGTGGGACTCTGTTTTTGGAGAACAAAGAATATATCCATTTTCCCCCTAACAAGCATCTCATAGGAGGTGACAAATTATGTGTGTTTCTTTCAAAGCTGGAGTGCATCTGCTTGAGAGGCAAGGAACTAAAAGTCTGTATGAGATAAGGCAGATCTTTAAAATGGATTTGCAAGCAAAACTCGGATTCTAGAACAAGGCTAACTAAAGTCAAGAAAAGGATGAACAACAAGAACTTTCTGCCAGAGTTTACAGCCAGTCACGTGAAAAATAAGAATATTCCACATGGATTAGAAACTCTGTGTTGCATTGCTATTTGTTGTTTTTTCAGATTCATTTCTTGTATAGGTTTTTGCCTGGAACACTGTTTTTAAATATGTTCTCTTCCCCTGAATTCAGTAGTTAAATATGGCAGAGAAGAGGACTAATGTGGTGCTTGTGTTTGCTCTTTAAAAAGATAAAGGCAGACACTGCCCTCCGCATGTAAAGTGTCTTTACATTTTCAGATGGTATTCATTTTAATGGTTACATGGCCGGCTGCCTAGCTGTACTTCCTCTTCTTGTTCATTACGTCCTCTTTTACCACTTTGGGTGTCGAGGGAGATATAAGGTCCTTCTTATAATGGTTTCTATAATGTGGCATTTAAAGTAATGACTACATAAATTTATAATTTCTTACAATGTTACTTGTATGATCATCTGTTTAACTGAGACATTGCTCATTACATTCTGAAATATTGTGATCCACTTTCAGGTTCTGAAAAAGCTGAACTTCAGGCTGAAATCTTGCGTCTGCACAGAGAAAATCAAGGTAAGACACTTTATGTCCTTTAATTCCCCTCTGGGTTGTGGGACTCTGTTTTTGGAGAACATTTTTAGAAATTTACCTCCCCCCCACCTCACCAAATCACTAACAAGGATCAGAGGAAATTAAACTTGAAAGAAATCCAGGTAAAATGTGTGCAAGATGTCAGGATGTACATGAGAGGACATAAAGGAATGTGTTTGGAAATCACTGAAAAATGTGTATGTGTGTGTGTGTGAGAGAGATACCCACACACAGACACGTGCACACACACACACACACACAGAGGTGGATAAAAATAAAAAGTAGGAGTTTCCATGAATAAGTTAACATCCTGTAACAGCTCAAAACCTCAAAGAGTAGGCCATAAGCTCATTGTCTTGGCAGAATGTTTAAGACAGAAAATGTATCCAAGGGGATATAGAGCACATTATCTCAGGTTAACTCTGTGTAGAGGAATTGAGCCTTACACATATGCATGGCAAGGTCAAACATGACATCTGATGCAACATAAGAACAAAGAAAATAACTGGTAGGGCTATAAAAGAGATGAGAAAAGTCTAGTAAACAGACAAGAAACAAGAGACTTTAACATGCTGACTGAAATATCTGCATGGTAGTTGATTGTCTGATGCGAACGCTTCGCTTCGTAATGCCGGGATGCCAGGTTCAATCACAGCTGCGGGCAATGCGCCTTGTGTTGGTTTTGACAGTGGTATCAAGAAAGCCGACCGTCCAGAAAGCAGTGGCAAACTACTGGTTGTAAATTGCCTAGAGAAAACCACACAACAGGCAGAGGCTGTTAGGGTTGGTTCTGCAACGTCCTGTAAAGGATACGCAACTGACTAGTTGATTGTAGCAGAGTGCCTAGATGCTTAGATTTTTGCGGAAGCAATTTGTATTTGTCAAAATTGACCTTTGACCTTTGTTCCCGGCCTAAAAAGGGTACCAGGTAACATTCTGGAAAGTAAAGTTGATCGGCATTATGTTGACTTCATCTCTCGTCGAGTGTCACTGTGTCTATAAAAATATAGAGCCAGTGGGCCAGTATAAGAGTACTTTACTTTTACTTGCTTGTGCCGTCCATGGCTTAGGTGTTGTTGTGAGTCCGATTCGTAATTCCAACGTACCGCGATCAAAATCCAAAGCTGGCTGTGTGGAATTTTATCATGGTATGGGGCATCGCAGGTCGACAGCCTAAAATGAGTACCAGGATGTATGTCTTGGGAAGTAAAGACGGCTGGCATAATGCTGACCACATTACCTACCTAGTGCTGATTGGTCTGTAAAAATATTGGTGCTCTTCCCATATTCCTGATGCGGCTAAGGCGTAAAAGGGATCTTTACTTTTTTTTTTTTTACTTTTTACTTTTACTTACAAATGACATTTCTGGTTTAGGTCAATGGCTTAGCACATGAGTACCCTGTGTGTTTGGCTAGATTTTAAAAGATGTTTTATTTGTTTAAATCAATGATTTTCCTAAGAGGATTTTATTTGTTGACATCTCTCTAAACAGGCCTGAAACAAGAGAATGCTGACATGAAGTCCTACATCGATGGCCTAGTGGCTCGGGTCATGATACACTGTCCGGAAGCTTTGGCCGCTGGCGATGACCTCAAACCTTTACCCAGTGGAAAATAATGCCAACCGACTTTAAACCTCCTTGATTTTACACATCCAGGCATGTTAAGAGCACCAAAAAGCCATGAAATCCACAGTGCTTTCCAAGATTGGTGAAATAAAAGTACCTTATGCAATTTTATTTTTATTATTTTTATAAACATCCTAAAAACCAAACCTTTTTTTTTTTAAACTGAATTTTTTTTTTTTAAAGCTCAGTTCCTGTGACTTTATAATAGTCCCAGTTTGCTGTACCTCTCAGTTCTTGATGAATGTGTTCAATATTATTGACATGTTTATAAAACAACAAAAAAGCAATGTACAACAGTACGTGTATGAGAATTTAAAGAAAACCTCGAACTGTTCCATATTTACTTAGATACAGAGCTGTTGTTGTTTATATATCATTATATAAGGTTACAGAAATGAATTGTGGAAAGAGAGATACAGGAAGAGTGACAGATGATTCTTGAGGCCTGTTGTCATGGCATGAAAGGTTGTCAGCAATTGAACTGATACCTGCCATTGTCCTAAGACCCATAACCTAGATACTTTTGAAAGTCTGGAAGAATTCAAGTGCCTATATTTGACTTAAAGTACCCTGCAGTCACACTGGTGTGTATTACACAATGTATAAAAACAAACAGCCTGTATGCTGCATATCAGAGGTTGCAGGATGTTGAGAATCATGATCAACCATCCCAGTCACTTAGTCACTTGATAATGATATGAAATTATGTTAACTCACTGGGGCACTTGCTTGAACAGACATCTGGTCTCATGTCTAAGTCACTGGGGCACTTGCTTGAACAGACATCTGGTCTCATGTCTAAGTCACTGGGGCACTTGCTTGAGCAGACATCTGGTCTCATGTCTAAGTCACTGGGGCACTTGCTTGAACATACATCTGGTCTCATGTCTAAGTCACTGGGGCACTTGCTTGAACAGACATCTGATCTCATGTCTAAGTCACTGGGGCACTTGCTTGAACAGACATCTGATCTCATGTCTAAGTCACTGGGGCACTTGCTTGAACAGACATCTGGTCTCATGTCTAAGTCACTGGGGCACTTGCTTGAACAGACATCTGGTCTCATGTCTAAGTCAGTGGCGCACTTGCTTGAACAGACATCTGGTCTCATGTCTAAGTCACTGGGGCACTTGCTTAAACAGACGTCTGGTCTCATGTCTAAGTCACTGGGGCACTTGCTTGAACAGACATCTGGTCTCATGACTAAGTCACTGGGGCACTTGCTTGAACAGACATCTGGTCTCATGACTAAGTCAGTGGGGCACTTGCTTGAACAGACATCTGGTCTCATGTCTAAGTCACTGGGACACTTGCTTAAACAGACATCTGGTCTCATGTCTAAGTCAGTGGTCATTGTTACTTGATATTTACATTTTATGAATGATCAGACAGAGCCTGCTAATGGCACAAGGAGATACTAAGTCACTAAGATAATAACTATTCCAACATGAACCATTTTATAAGAACCCTGAGAATTTACATATCATTTCTGAAACTGCTACTAAATTACTGAGTTTCATCCAGACATGACCCTGTTTCTTCTTGCATTTACATGTGTATATAGTTTTTGTTTTTTTAAAGAATCTTGACAAATTATTTTTTATTTTATTTTTCTTGAGAGTTTTAGGTCCCTGATTGAGATAATATTTTATTCCCAAGTTGTAATACGTTTATTCTTTGTTCTAGCAGATGCTATGTTATTTAATATTTCTGGTTTTGGTGTATGTACTCCTTACCTAGAGCTGATAGTATGTTTGTTTCTTAATTATTTGTGGTTGTTTGTATTGGGTTCATCTACTGCTTAAGGTGTAAAATATGCTGCATGAAACATTCCACATGACAACATTTGTTCTGTGGCCCTAAGGAATGGTAATCTGCTGAAAGCACAGAGCTGAGCTACATTACCATACAAGTGATAATTTATTAGAGACATTCTTGATGTTGTGTTACAGAATTTAATGTTTCTTTTCAGTTATTTTCAAGAATGCATCTGTACATTTGCCTTGTTTGTTTTCAGAAAATTTCAGGGTAGAACCAATAATTCAAAATGTGGATGTGATCTCATTTGGATTATGAGTTTTGTGATTCTTGTTTACAAACTCATAAATTGTGTTTCAATTGCACCAGAGCTTTTCTAGATGACACTCCTTGTTCCTCAGCAAACATAGCTTGTTTGTTTTTAAAATGTTTAATTTACATTGTTTCTTTTTTTTTTTAGACACTTTTATGTTTTTAGTCATTACTGAAAAGGTACTTCTGTTTTAATTCTCTTTAATTGAATGTCCGTATTATATTTTTTTGACACATCTTAATTTGTTGTTGCTCAACAGAATATCTTAAGTGTTGAAAGATCTGTTTGGTCGTACTTGTTAAATATATTCAGTATCCCCCAGTGTCTGGAGATATTTATTATTATAAAAATGTCATTTAAAGAGCAAGGCACGGAGAAAAGTATAACAAGAAATGATAAATTATAAGAGGCAACCTTTCAGGACGAATATACACTGTGGGGACATAAATCATTAGTTTATTTTAAATGGGTTTGTTTTAATATCCAGAAGCCATGAGTTGTTAAACCTTAGGCTCCGTATTATGGATATCACAATCTTTCGGCCTTGATTCCATTGTAAATACCGTAAATCTGGGAGAAAATGTGGCTTTTCTGCCTACCCCCGGGAGTGAACCTAGACCACAAGTAGTTCGTCACCCGGTCACCGCGCAATCTGGTTTAGCCAATTACGCTAGAGAGCCGGGCATTTTAAATGGGTAAAAGTAATGCAACAAATCGGTGATAAAAGCTTCTTCTTCTTTGCATTCACCGGCTGTGACTTCCGGTGGAAAGTCCTGATTGTTCATCCATTTGGACTTTTGGCTTTGCACCAGGACCTCAATTTTTGCGTGTACATCCGAAGTACTGAAGTCATGTGTATTGAGTTGCTTCCAAGGTACAGGGTATAGGGTAGGTTTCAATGCTATTGTTCTCATAGGAGTCTTGTATTGATATTGTTGTCTAATTTCTTATGTATTTCCTTCATCTCTGTGAAGATGTCTTGCTTCATTGTTGACTTCTTTGGAACTTTCCTTGCTTTCTTCTTGAATTCTCTTGCTTGCTTGCTTTCAGTGCCTTGACCTCTTCTTCCAGCCTTCTAATTTGGTTCTGCATTTTGGATTTCTCCACAGGTGTGAAGTCTCAGGTATTCCCATATCTTCTTTTTGCCTCTTTACATGAGATTTTCTCCGTTATTGCAATTATGAGAATTCCTTGACAATTTTGTAGATAAGGGCAGTTGAAATATCTGGCACCGTGTTGTCCAAAACAGTTGCTACATCTTGTTAGTATTTGGTTTTTGATAGTCTTTATCTTCTTTTACTAATTGACATTCGCTGTATCAACGAGAGTCAGCACAATATCGATAAATATATGATTTACTGCGCCAAAACTGATCTGTTATGAAATCTTTTTTTGGCATCGAGAGCACTTAAGTACTCGTGAGATATATATAGCTCCCGTTTCTGAGATTTTTGTTGAACTAGTTTCTTGAATATTTTTACCTTTTGTTGTCACCACAGCCACTGTGGAATTCTTAGCTTTAGATGCAGTTCTTTTTGCATGAACTATCTTCATCTAAAAGTTTTCGCTTTGAGCGTTCTATTGTAGGGTTGGTAGTGATGTCTTCAGTCTGGCCATTGGGTCTGTCTTTTTCAGTTTAGCAATAGCTCCCTCCTATGTCTTTGTAATTCTTTCTATGTTGATTTTCCTAGTGACAATTCGAGAATGTAGGTCATTTTGGACTTTGATAAATCTAAGAATTTAACTCCTTCCTCATTTATCTAGTGAATCTTGATTCTAGTCTGTTTGATAGAACCACTTGTTGTCTTGCTTACTTTGGATGGAACCTCTTGATGTACCCTTGTGTTCCTATTAGCTGTAGGTTTCTTGGAGGTTGAAACATTGGTATAGCCATATGACTTCCTTGTTACCACAGGATTGTTGGAGGTCGTGTGTTCTGCTGCCAACTTATTCCATCGAATATCCTTAGTAATATTCAAAGGTTCAGTTGTCTTCAGGCTACCCTGGGTATTTTCCTCCCGTACCATAGCAGTTGTTTGCTTGGCCTCTTTTTTTTATCCCTGCTTCTAAGTGGCCTATGCAGGCCATGACGCTTAACCGTTTTCTTGAAACTTACCGTTTATATCAGCAATGGCCGTTAGTTCTATTATAATGTACTTGATGAAGTATGCACTACTCACTTTCCGGAATTGCCTCTATTGGGTAGATCTGGTATTGCAATAGTGACGGTCGTTACTGATAAATTCTTGATGAAGAATTGTCATATTCAGTACTGTATGCGAAGCCGTCTCACCTGCACGCGATCTTAAACGAGATGGTCTTGATATTTGTGATAAATAACGGCCGTGAAAAGACGAGACAAATTCAGCAATTTATGTGGAGTGAATCTAGATTACAATCTAAGCATTCACATTATCTGTCACAAAGAGTGAATAGATTTATTTATTTAAAAGAAAGCAATGGAAAAGAATGGCCCTGCAAATAGTCCTATCTCTACTCTGTCATTATCGTCAGGATGATTTGAGTTGAGGACTGTGATGTCTCCTTGTATCTTCTTAATCTTATTTTCAAACTGGCTAATTCTTTTCTTTGTTACCTTTGATATTTAAATATCAGACTTCAGCTGGGTGCAATTTTTGTTTCTTTCAACTTTTGAATTGCAACAGAATTTACCTCACACTCACTTTCTACTTTTGTATAGATGGTATATACCTTCCCAAATTCATCTGAATTTGCTTTTATATCCGTGTTACCCGTCTCAGTTCTCATCCATCTCTGATCCAGATTGTTCAAGAATAACTCCAAGGATTTTGAGTCATGTGAAGCAGCCTAGTGTCCTCAGTGTTTGAGTTTTCTCTTCCACAGTATGCATTCTCAGTAGTTTCATTAAGCTGGCTGTAATCTTCTCCTTGTCTGCTG